CACACACGTCATAATTCAAGAAAAACCAGCAAAGTTTAGTTTTCAGTCATGCACTTTGCTTACTACGATGACGTCATCAGTGCTGTCCACGTTGGTATTCTATAGTTACACTCATGTCCTCGTAAAAACTTATGCAGACAAAAAGGGCGGGCTCGTACTTCATGCAAAAGCGAACACGAACCCGACTTTGTGACAAATTTGATACAGATCAAAATATTCGCGCTATAAATTTGCATAAGTCGAACACATTTCAGCTTGGACGAAATTTCTCTACAAATCATTCATAACGTCAAATTCGCTTCGCTTCGCTTCGCTTTCGCATCCCCTTGTATGAACCGGCCGTACAGGCTTAGAACCGGCACTTTGGTAAAGCTTTTAAATGTTTTAGTTCATCACATGAAGGTCAGCCATTGTCTTACTTTTGTTCACAATGCTGGTAAATTCGATTTTAGTCTACATCTTTCAGTAGTCGAGTATAACTCCTCACCGGACTGACACTGCTTCAAAAACTTCTCGCAAGCATGCACTGAGATTAATGCGCAGCAGCTACAAAGTATTCATCACAAAATCACGGGCCTTTGATCTGAGAGACTTATGCTGTACGGGCCCGTGCACTGTCATCCCCAATGAAAGTCAATTTCTCACAGTTAAGAGCTCGTTACGGTTCACGGGTGTTTCATTAATCAGAGTTTTTGGAATTCATTATCGCATCACTCCTCTTGACCATCACAGCCTTGTGCTAATCGTCTTCTGTTTCTGGCTGACTGACTTGTTCGCCTTTGCCCGTCCTGACAATCCAGACAACTTATCGACGGACCGGGTTAACGCGGCTGGTGATAGCATCCCGAGAGTGTAAGCGTGGAGGCAGCCCCGTTCAGGCTCGGCGATCCCTTTTCAACCCCAAGGAACTGGGGCAATTTCCTTAAGCGCCGTCTTCCCCTCCGCATCGTTGGGAGAGCACCACCTCCGTTGGGACCGTACCGACCAGGACACTCGCAATCATCTCCCGGAGACGCGCCGCCATTTCATCGTCTTGAAAAGCCACCTATACCGTGAGGAAGCGAAGAGAGAGAGAAGGGAAAATAAGGAGGGCAAGATTCAACAAGAGTTGATCTCAAAATGAAAAAGATTTTTTTGTATACTGGTACAGAAACATATCACATGCGCCGCAGGCGCTTTAAAGTGGGCTCATCTACAGGGAGTCTCTGGCGGCGTGCACACTAATCTTGTCGATTACAGGTTAACTTCTGATGAGCAGGTGATCAGTATTCGAGAAGAAACTCCGTTCTCTTGTCCAGATAGTTTATTCCCCCTTTACGGTGTCGACCTAGTCTCGGTTTTAGAAGTCAGTACAAATCAACTTCAACGTGAATTATGCAACGGATTGATGAGTGAATTGGAGAGACACCGTAGGGATAATGAAGAGCTGCAAAGGCCCCCCCCCCTTAAAAATGAGAGAGAGAAGCTCCTACCACTCTTAATAATTCTGGTCACCATAATGTGACTCCGAGGAGAGTTCAACCTGTCCGGAATCGACAATCAGTTTTTTTTTCTTTTTCGGCCGTCCGAAGGGAGTCGTCGTTGGGGGATTCCTAGATTGAAAATGCCGCATCTCCGATGATTAAAATGTATATTAACCAGCCCCGCGTAGGGTACACGGTGTGGAGTTGATTCAAACCGCGCACTAACAGAGGTTCACGCTCGATATGCACGTCTTACTGGGGGAAATGGCAAAATCCATTCATTTGGAATCGGATAGAGAGAATGCCGATTTTCTGTGTCTAATGATGAATACCTCATAATTCTTTAGACATAACTAACCACTGATGTTTCGAAGAATTAATTGAAACCAGATGTCATTATTTCTTCACCGAGATGAATATTGCTCAAGTGCTTACACTGAGTATTAAGTAGTACTAAGTACCAAGTCTTGATACTTCGGTACAGAGCATCAACACTTTTGGCAGTATCATTTATCCTTGATCAGTTTTGTATATAAAGTTTGATCATAACAAGTGATGTTCAACTATGAACAAGGAAAAGCCAGTAAATGCCAGGCATTTCTGTACGTTTGACTAAAAGTCTATCAAATTTGCAAGCCAGTAATTAATTCCATCTGCTTTTTAGATGTGATCCGAATTCCATGTTTCATTGACAGGCATAAGCATGTGCTCAGTGTTGAATTAATAATTACATAGGCCTATACTAATAGTCTCTGGACAAGGATTCTATGTAAACCGACAGCCCGAATGATGCCACCTTCCCCATAAACTCTTCGTCCTACTGTGAACTAAAGTGGATAATCTGCAGACCAATAATTACTACGTGGCAATTCACCTTGCCGATAATTATGATCCAATTATCAAATAAATACCTCCATGCAACGCCTCGAGTGCTCCCGCTCAGCGCGGGCGCTGAGCGTTTGTAGAGCGGTTGTGCTGGCTTTAATTGCCGGCTGATACCGCACGCGGCTCCCGCGCCCGTCAATTGCCTGCATTGGTCTACTTACTCTGCGTCGAGGTCGTCCAATGGAGGCCACAGTTATTGTTCACACAGTTTGGGGGGAAACAGGGGGGTGCTTGAACTGAACTGTTGGGTCGATCCTGGCATTATGCAATTAATTAACCTTCGTCACCAACAGCGACAAAAAAGGCACAAAGAAGAGAACAAAACCTACCATGCACTGGAAATAATAGTAATCGAAATTGGAGTCATTTCAGCGGCTAATTACCTATCGTGTTGAAGTACCATCGTGCCGCCCTGAATTTTACAGGAATCTCAAAAACTAGCTAATGCGCCGTGATTACTTCAGTTTGAAGCTTTTGATGCAGATCTTGAAGAACCTTCGCATCAGTGACTGTAGAGATCACAAGAAAAATGCGCGGGACTGGATTCAGATTGTGTGCCAATAGTAATGCTCAAACTCCCGAAAGGGGTGGACTTGTGTTGAACTGACATATTAATCTTAAACAAACCCGTTTCTACAGTTTGAAGTTCTGCGGTTTGATGTGATCAAGTAAGGACTTTCATACAACACGAGATTCTGGTGTGGGGGGGTCTTTCTTCTTTTCAGTTAAAATTTATCAATTGATTGTTGCTAAATTGAGTTCTTTTTGTTCTTTCTTTTTGCCCCTTTGCACGTTTTTTTACGTCCCCCGAGACAGATTAGGGTACCGAAATTGAAGTGTTGCATTTAATAAGATTTCACAGTTTGCACTGAGGAATACCCTTTTTACTTTATTAAACTTATATACAATTTAGACCGAACAAAAATGAACTCGTTTTCTGTTTGTCGGTCGACCTTTTGAAAAAATAGTTGTTGCTTTCGATAATCTGCACATTGATTTGACTAATGATTTGCTTCTAACAAAATATGTAACTTTCTATGGAAGTTAAGAACCTGTCAAATGGGTAAAACCTCCGTTTTGACATAAAAGTAAGGGCGACGGAATGTGGAAAATCCAACCACCTTCTTGTAAAAGGTAAAAAAAAGTTTTTAAAAATCAAAACTTTCGCCGCCTCCTTTATTTTGTTCGAAGCATCTGGACGAGAAACCATTTTCACTTGGCCTTTTTTCTTACGCGTTCAGACGAGTGAGCACCTACATGTACATCTAGTTATGCATGATGTAATTAGTAGCGGCGGCCTTGTTGTGGTAGTTTCGAAAATTATCAAGCACGGGCACGTAGAGCTTCCTAAGGTTTTACGTGCTTTCCTTCATTTTTACCCATGCAGAGGAGACCTCTTCTATGCATGGGAACTATCTTTAAACCTTTTCCATACAACTATCTTGAGACCCTTTCCTGGCATGGGAACTATCTTGAAACTTTTTCCATGCATTGAACTACCCTGAGACTTTTCCATGCATGGAAATTATCTTGAGAACTTTGTATTAGGTTTTGTTTTCCAGGACTAAACGCCACAATCAACCGATCTTTTTGTGTCTTTTTGAATACTGACATGTTTAGTAACAAAAGTCTCTGAGATGTCTGTTGCATGCAAAAAAAAATGGTTGTAAGTCGCTGGCTTGCCGAAATATGTTTCAGATAATGCGGTCGTTGCTCTTTCTTCATTTCCTCATCCAACTACAGATATCAAGCTCGAGAGAGTTGTTTATTATCTTCATCTCCGGCACTTTCCCTCAAAACTGCCCTGTAATTACGCTGGCACCATTCAGCTCCATGCCTCGCTGCGGGCGTGAATCTCCCTAGCCCCCGGCAGATCACGCCTCCCCCCCCCGCGCTTTTTATGCTTCTGCGAAAAGAACGTCACGCGGGCCAAGTCGAAACTCGCCCCGAGATTGTCAGAAAATTAATCCTAAATTGGTCGAGTGACATCGCGGCAAGACGACGGTGGTCGTGTTTAGTGGAAAACGTCGTTCATTGGTCGCACTCAAAAACGGTCCTTTTTTTTTGTCCACTTTGCTCGATGCGTCTTGGGTTCCTGTCGATTAAGTCCTCTTGTATCCCTCACGCAACCGATATATCCCGCCGTTTCGAACGACGTCATTGTGCAATTATTCCCGGATGGTAAACGGAAACGGTTAGGCTGATAAATTTGCCATTTTCCAATAAACTAAAACCCGTCCGGTGGCAGCTTTGTCTGTAATGTTACAATAAGCACGTTTTCCATGGTCGTGTATTGTAAAAGCTTTAATTGTGTTTACAATTGGACCTCTGACGGTAGGTTTGTAACAGCCCTTAAAGACTCCTTTATATCTCAGAATGACGTTAAAATGTTTGACATTTGCAACAATGATGCCTCCTGTAATTCACTGAGTCGCGTAATTGCAAAGATCAATAAAATATCATTTAGTGCGAAACAGACGACAACCCATCTGCCAAAATAAGACTGCTTGTCCACTCAGTTCACATGAGTTAGTGACCAGTTACTTTGTCTTTGAGAATTAACCTTGTGAGGGCACCAATTTTAATCATTAACCACCGTAGTCTGCGGTTTCACCTCAAGTCAATGGAGGGCGCTACATTTAAAGGGAAAGGTGCCTGCTTCAAGTGCTTGATTGCCAGCAGTAGCTAATCGGAGTTGAGTTGTTAAATGGGAAATACACCCATTTGTATCCCATTATAAGACAAGTGTTGAGGTGAGAATGGTTTGGATACATAGATCTGGGGTAGCCTATGATTCAGACACTTTTGCAGGAATGGTGAAACTAGGCCTATCTTTTCTTATTTTACAATGGCAAAGTCAACTGTCTTTGGTCTCGTCATATGTCAATAAATAGAAAGGAAAGGACCCTTCAACAAATATATCCCTGCGTGACGGTTTTCGACGATGTAAGGTTTTTTTCAAACTGACCAACATGCAGAAAGTATTCCCACCAAAGGAGCTATATATGCAATCACACGTATGAAGCCAAACCACGGTTCACAACCATGCACAATGCATGACATCTAGATGCTCAACCAACCATAAAAACTTCACGTGTGAAATTACTAGGCTCCTATAACATTCAGGCTTTGTTTTCCTTGAAAAAAAAACCTATGTCGAAAACGCGTACCATTGAAAACTGGGCCCTTTATATGAATTTTTTAAAAATTTCTTTCGCTTTTCCTTTTCATTTCATTTTCAGATCTTTTAACCCTAACACTCCTCAATCCTTCACCTGTTGGAGGATTGAGGAGTGTTAGGGTTAACACCCATGTAAGGTGCATGTACATGTATTGGAAAGGGTACTAATTGAATGAAAAATTGACATGAGCTTTGGTGTTCATTAAAAAATGAGTAAATGATAAACATGATAAACGGCCATATTCTACCCTACGACCCTACCGGCACCTAGGGCAGATCATGGAGGGTCCCTTCCTCCATGGGCAGATCCAGTGGGGGAAACAGGGCCATACCCTCAATACAGGGCCATACCCTCAATGTTGAACAAGTAAATGTGTGAGTTTTGAACGTTGGATAAGTAGCAGTTTGACATTCAGGATGCAAATGCCTAAAAGCGATGGAGTGCAAAAGGGACAAAAAACTGTGCCAACTACATTCAAGGGCTTGTTTGACCCAGAGGAACCCCATGCCCCTGGTTGCAAGGAATCATCTCCAATTGAGGAGTAGAATGACATCAGGTTTAATGTAATCTCCAGGCAGGGCATGGGGTTTGAGTACATGTATTTTATTTCGATTTGAGAAAAGTGTGGTGTGGCTGTGAGGCATTCAATGTAAACTGGGTACAGTGTACATGGGGTGCGGTTATAAATGGGGCCTTGTGGGGTGCCGGAACAATGGGAAGTACCCCACAAGGCCAGTTTTTACCTACAAGAATTTCACGAAACTGATATTTGGAAATAACTCAAAAAGGGGAAATTTTTTATGGGTAAAAATTGTCGCAAATTGAAGTGTTTTATATAAGGGACATACAGTCAAAATTTCAACCCAAGAAAGTGAATTTGGTTTAAATTGGAGTGATTTGAAATTTTTTGTGTGCTGTGTGGGAGTTTTGTACACGAGAACAAAGGAAATACCCCATAAGTACAGCTGTGTAAGGATGTGTGGATGTGTATGACAGCAAAATGTGGTTTTTTGAGGGTCCCTTTTGCACTCCATCACTTTTAGGAATGTGCATCCTGAATGTCAAACGGTTACTTATTCAACGTTCAAATATCAAACGGTTATTTGTTCAACATTGAATGTCAAACGTCACACGAGGAACTAACTACACGTCGGTCTGTCGCTGAATTTAATTTAGTTTAAGATCTACCGTTAAACTTCATACCATAATACATGTACATGTATTTATACCCATCAACCATTGGCGTCGTGAAGGAAGGGGCAAAAAAGGGGATGGGCACTTTGATCCTCCCCCACAAAGAAAAAGAAGAAAAAACAAAATGCAACGAAATGGGAAAAAACGGCATAACAGAGTAGATGATACTCACGACCTTGCTCGAAAATACCTCGGAATTGACTGCCGCCGAGATTGCTGCCTATTTACATACATGTGGGTCATTCCATGAGGTTGGGGCACAATTTGTGACGGTGTCCTTGTCACATGGGTAACTTTTACCAGCTGTAATGACCTGTAGAGTCGGTCATTTACTCTGTCAAAATAACACACCCCTCTGTATTCAGCCTTGCAAGATGTATAACAATGTCAATTTGGAATCCACATGAAGGGAAATAGCTGTTCATTTTTACGTAACCCATGTAACAATGGACACCGTCACAAATTGTGCCCCAACCTCATGGAATGACCATGTACATGAGTGTCCCCCCCCACACCTGAAAAATTTCTGGTGACGCCCAGTGTTGCATGATGTTTTAAGAAGCCTGAAAAAAAAACACAGTGCGGAATTGATATAGGTGGACAATTAGGTTGTGTTGCATAAGGAAGAGAGCTCGTTAGATGAGTGGGCGAGATTTTTTTTTTTCATTTTTATCCGTAGATCTTTGTGAACTAGTCATGGCAGACCCAACCACCAAGAAGCTCATCAACAGCGTGGATGCCTGCGTAGACCAGTCGCTAGAGGGTCTAGTGGCCAGCCAGCCTGGCCTCAGACTTCTCCAAGGTCACCGTGTGGTCATCAGGGAGGATATTGAAGAGGTCAAAAAGATGGGAAAGGTCACAATTCTGTCCGGTGGCGGTTCCGGCCATGAGCCCGCTCATGCAGGTAAAACTGACACATTATGATTTAACAAGAATACATTAAATTACAGGCCCTAACTTAAATGAAATTCTTTAAATGCAGTCCTTGTGATAATGCAATTTTCCGTCCCCTCAAACCAGTTCCAGTGTCATTTTGGAATCTTTAAGAAGAATTTATTGATTATTTGTTTTCTTGCTAATGTAATTATAATGAGAAAAATGTGAAACTGCTAATTAGCCAGCCATTGCTTAGTACACACCATGAGGAATTCCTCCCTTGTCCATGGTTCATCGCCAACCAACAGTTCCAACATTCCCAGAGCCCATACAATGCAATTGTTTAATTACCACAGTTTTCATAAATGCTCCTTTGTGTCCACTTTAATTTAATATTCTATTTTAAGTGACTTTTTGTATGCCTTTTGATTGTTTTTGCAAATAATTTGTATGTTTATGAGAAAGTGTGATACCATCCAAGGCAGAAACCAGTGTTACAGCTATTTCTGCACCAACATTTGCCCAATTTTTTGGAAATTTCGCTGTAGTAAAGTTTGTTTACTAAGTGATGATTTGTTGTCATTTTGGCTCGTGGCAGAAGGTCAGCGAGTGTCATGAGAGTGACCCAAAAGAGGTGCCAAACAGTTTTGTTGCATTCAAAGGAGACATTAACTGGAATACGTGTAGGGGAGCGTTTTTGCAGTATTACTATTAACTTCCACCACCTTTGAAGCAGTAAAGTAGAAAAACATCAACATTTTGGTCTTTATGCTAATGGTTTCCATATTCCTGAACCAAAGCATGATGTCATCCGAGGCAGAAGAGTAGCGTCTCATGTCACACTTTCATATGTTTTGTTGGAGTTTATCGTATTTAGCAGCCTGTTTGGACAGTAATAGAAATGGCCCAGTATTTCCTCAAAATGTTGTTTATAGGTAATTTTGAAGGACAATTTTTGTGCTTTTCCTTGTGATCTTTTACAAGGAGATCCTTGTGTGATAAAAGGAACATGGCGCCCTCTAAAAGCATTGATGAAATAATTTTTCTAAGCATGTACAAACTACCATTCGTCCCTTCTGATAGAAAGAAGTATTTAAATCTTGTTTGTAAATTTTGCCACATACCCTAGCAGTAATCTGTATCAAAACCAGTTGAGCTGAATTTTGCCGCAATTTTCCTTTAAAAGGAGGGACTTGGCACATGTCTAACTCACAAGGTGCCTCTGTCCTTCATGCTCTGTTGAGTCCTAAAGTTCTGCATTAAAGAGCTATTCGAATATTACTCTTCCATAGAAGTGAATGCATCGCAGGCACAATTATGCGTGTAAAAGGCATAAGCGTGAGAACTAGCGCGTGAACCGACGCATGTGCCTACTCCATCCGCCTGCACTGCACTTTATGGTCCGTAGTGAGGTCACACTTAAGTACTCCGTACCCCTGCAGTGTGCTACAACAGTTTTGAAGGGGAAAGAAAGATGTTGTATTGTTTTGAATTGAGTGCAGTGTGAGAAGATGATTTGATGAACTTTCTCCAACCCCCCCCTTCCCCCAGGTTTTGTTGGTCAGGGTATGTTGAGCGGTGCTGTTGCAGGGTCTGTCTTCACCTCTCCGCCCCCCAACAGCATCTTGGCGGCTATAAGAGCTGTCGGCAAGAACAACCCAGGTCGGGGGCATAAGTTCTTTTGGAACTCGTGTTTAGCATTGATCCTTCTTTTAAAAAACATATCAATGTAGTTTTTTAGGCATTTCAAGGTCAAACAGATCAATATTTAAATTGTTTGGAATAGTTCTTTAACAAAGTTGCTTGTTTTATTCTTAAGATTTTCAGGTGTGATAATCTTGGTGGAATTTATATATTTCTTTATTTATCATAAGTATGTTTCAAAAAGCATTGAATAGGCAAAATGTTCTGCAAAGTGTTTCATTTGTTAGAATTCAACCTTCTCATCACACTAACCCTGAAGGGAAAATAATACAAGACTCCATTGATAATTCCATTGTCAGAACAGTTTCATATCAAAGGAGAAATTACTGGATGAATGTTTTATTCAAGACTTCACAATGACATCTCTCATGCTTAATAGCGAAATACCTCCTCACATCGTCAGGTCTTGAGACTTACAAGTCCCTACCTCGACACTGTTACCAATGGCTGTGGTGCTTTAATGTGCACTTTTCTGCTCAGAGTTTGCCTTTTTGTTTGGTTGTAGACCAAAGCAGCAAATTGATTGACTCACTGGATCTCTTGCACATTGGAAATTTATCCTTAGAACAGAAACCCAGTCTGTAATTTGTGTTCTGCTTATGTGTCCTTCTTTCATGTGTAATTTTTTGTTTTGTTTTATTTAGCTGGTACGCTACTCATTGTCAAGAACTACACCGGCGATCGGCTCAACTTTGGTCTGGCGGCCGAGAGGGCCACAGCAGAAGGCCTGAGGGTTGGCATGGTGGTCATCGGGGATGACTGCGCTCTGACAAGTAACGACAAGACAGCTGGTCGCAGGGGGCTGTGTGGAACCATATTAATCCACAAGGTGGCCATTGGGTATTGACCCCAACCATGCCAAACCCAATGATACTTAACCGTGGTCACTTTCTTTGGGATGTGGTTGATGTGAGGAGTGAACAGAAGGCCTTTTGTGTTGTATCCGTTGGATTCTCTTTGGGTTCAGCTTGCTTCAGATCACGTTTCTAACCGTCCAAGGGTGTTTGCACAGTATGGAGCAGAAGCTTCACACTGTTCTGTTGTATTCTGTTGGATTCAATAAGGTGCCTAGAGAACACCCAAAGGGAGTAAATGCTTAATCATATTAAGCTGCCCACTGTGGTGTTTTCTATGTTCAAAGAAGCAAACCGTACCCAAGGTGTAGTATCCATTTTGTAGATACAGTGGTATCCAATGAATAAGCATCTAAGAAGCTAGCAGCAGGTTTAGCAAACCTAGCCACAGGTTTTGTAAATTTTTATGTTTTAGAGGAGATTTCCTTTACATTTTCATTCTGAAGTCTACCGCTGTGGGCCTGGACGCATACCCTAAGGCTAAACCCTGCGCTAACTCCTTAAGTTTCTTTCGTTCGAAGTGTGAAAGAAATGAAAGAGAAATAATGGCTTGAGTCTGACTCAATGCCAAGTCACCAATTTGAGGCAGCAAACACCACCTCGTGTGCCGGCAGCTTCAGCTGGTACCTTCAAATTCTCACCCCTGTTTTTCCCCTTGTTCAAACAAGATTGCAGGGGCAATGGCGGAAGAAGGCCAAAGTCTTGAAGAGATTGTGAAGACTGTGCAATCAGCAGTCCAATCCACAGGTAGGCTATGGACAGTGAGTTGAATATTCGCGTGGTGCTCGAACCCAGTACCTCCTGATTTACCAATGCAGAGTCTCACGTCACCACTGAGCCTTCCATGTTGGCTGCCCGGTTCAGTATAACAGGTGTTCTAATTAGGCCATTCACACGTAGACTTCCAACTCTACAACCTAGACTGAAACCTACCTGTAAGCCTACATGTAACCTTAACACGCTCCATGCAATGAATTTTCCATACACTAACTATGTGTACATTTCTTTTCTTCTTCAAGGAATGGAAAGTGTTTGAAATTCTTTTGGAGTTAAGTTTATCTGTAAGGTGGTGTTGATGTGATGTAAATTAGGGAATACGCTGCTTTCATGGTCAGTTCCCAAATTTGCTCTTTGAAAATTTTTTGAGGAAAGGTTTTTCGCTGTCTTATTGCCATAAACTAACGCAACAATAAATTATCAAAGAAACAGAACGTTACAACAGTAAAGTATAAAAAAATTAAAGCTTACTTAAAAATACCTTTTATTTAACCCGCATTAAATTTGCATAATTTGGATAATATGTCTGCGAAGGCGTAGACGTGTAAGCGCCACCAAACTTGCTCCAACCTCATGGAAACATCCGCGTCTGCTTAATCCATTCCTACAGGAACCATTGGGGTGTGCTTGTACCCTTGCAGCCTGCCTGGTGCTGGGCATTCGTTCCATCTGGGCCACCAGGACTTTGAGCTGGGGCTTGGCATCCATGGAGAGGCTGGTGTCCAAAGGATGCAGGTAAAACCCATTCACAGATACCTCAGACAGATTACCTCATCGTGTGGGTTATTATGAATGTGGGGTAAAATCAGTGAATGAAATCGTTGGAAAAATATGAATTTTCGACTTATTTTTACTCCCTCCCCTCATGGTTTGGTTTTAAACTAGTAATGTAAAGCTGACTAGGGACCTTGGGACCTTTTTTCTTGTACATTTTGCACAACACCCATGTCTGGAGGCCGAAAATAACCGTGGAACACAGTGCTGCTGTCATGGTTTCGGTTACTAACAAGCCCAATAGCCTTGTTATTTAACCACTTTGGAAAGCATTGAAAAGTATTTTCTGCCCAATTAAGGGCACATGTAGTCACAAACAGGAACCACATACAGCCTTCTCTGGTTTCTTCTTGGTTACATAGACACCGGTAAAAGGTCTCAGATGTATTACTTCACTTTTCTGTCATTAGGATTTGGTTACCCTTCTTTTTGGTCCAGTAAATATTTTTCCCTGAAATTCAAGCCCCCAGGCCTGTATCACCGGTCCTCTTGGAAAAAAAGGGAAAAAGGCCCTGATACTGCACACCACACAGTGTTTGCATATTGTCTGTACTCCATTTTCATCAGTTTCTGGAACGTGGGTGTTACAAGGCCAATAATGTCTTTCCTTGATACTTGGCTAACTTTCTTCTTGTCACATGGTTGCAGGTGCTATAGGCAGGCATGCAACTTTTCCTTGGCTCTGCTGATTTCTTCCTTTTTTTTCACTGCGCACTCTTGCCATTGGAAGTTGAAAAACACTTTACAAAGTCTTGTAAAGATTGAAATTTCCTTGTTTTTTGTCTAAGTCGAATTACATGCCTGTATACCCTTCATGTGTTTTTCAGTAATTGTATTTTGATAAGACTTGAAGGTTTTCATGGTGAAAGAAACTAGATGAGTAAAATGATTGCGGTTGCACCATGTATCAATCTCTTTCTTGAGTATGTGTGGTTCTGAGAAGAACCGGGGAATAACTCGACATTTCGAACAATGTACTCTGTCCGTCATCGGGAGACTGGAGGATTCTGACTGGGAGTGGAGCTTATATGGTGTAGAGAGGGATCCAGATGTAGGGATTAGCTCGGTGAAGAGTTGAGGTGGGAACAGTGAAGGTGGGAACAATGGATGCTGCGCTGGATCCTGGTACTGCATGACCTGAGTGTGTGCTTACAGCTCCGGCCATCCAATTCCAAGTGCCCAAGGTTCTTTGGACAACCGAAGATCCACAAGGAAGACGTTCCGCTGCGCCCCATTGTAGCGTCCAGAGGAGGCCCCCCTGCTCCTCACCTGTGTCAACTCATCGAGCTTCCGCTGGCGGGACAAATTCTTCAAACAGTCAGCTGGAACCTTCATGGAATCTCCTATTTCCCCAGTTCTGGCTGACGTGTTCATGGAGGAATTTGAGCAGCGCGCCATCAACACATCAGACCACAGACCCAAAGTTTGACTCCGATATGTAGATGACACTTTTGTCATCTGGCAACATGGGCAGGGCAACCTCCAAGTCTTTCTGGAACACCTCAACAGGCTTCACAGCAGCATCCAATTCACCATGGAACAAGAACGTAAAGGCTACATTTCGTTTCTTGATGTTGAGGTGACCAGAAAGGACGACAGCAGCCTAGCCCCCACGGTCTACCACAAGCCCACCCACACGGACAGACACCTCCACAGTACGTCCTTCCACCACCCCAAGATCAAGTCGTCTGTCAACTGGGCCCTTGTTTGCAGGGCATACAACATCTACGACAAAGAATTCCTGAGCCAAGAACTCCACCACATTACCGCAGCGCTGCAACGTAACGGATACAAGCCAAGTCAAGACCCAAGATCCCAGATCTACCCCCGGCCGAAGGGTCTCCTATACCCAAAGCGAACTAGTTAGGGCCCCTAGTTCCATCATCCCCCTCCTACTTAGGCAGTACTTCCCACCATATCCAGCGTATTCTCGATTCGAGTTTTGCATACAGCCCCACTGCAGTTGCACAACCTGCGCCTTTCGCTCAGGGACCGGCAGAACCCCCAGCACAGACCAGGGGTGTACAGAATTCCTTGCCAATGTGGCAAAGTGTACATCGGCGAGACGGGCAGGGACCTCCCTACCCGAATCAACGAGCACAAAGCTCATGGCAGGAAGGGAGAGCTTGAAAAGTCGTCGATAATTAAGCACTCCCACACTGAAGACCATCAGATCTACTGGAGCCAAGCTGAACTCATCACCAGCATCGAACGATGGTATTCCCACCGCATCAGAGAAGCCATGGAAATCATCAAGCATGGCACAGTTCCCCAAGACATCAGCTTCAACATCAGCGATATCTGGCACCCCATCCTCACAGCCCAGTCCAGTGGGTCTCCCATACCCTAGGACTCCCTAGTTAGGTTCCCCCCTTAGTTAGCCTATAGATCTTCTCTACCCTTGGCAACCAGCTGTTCACTCTCCCACTGCCAACCCCAACTGACACGCTTGAATAAGCACACACTCAGGTCATGCAGTACCAGGATCCAGCACAGCATTTATTGTTCCCATCTTCACTGTTCCCGCCTCAACTCTTCACCGAGCTAATCCCTACATCTGGATCCCTCTCTACACCATATAAGTTCCACTCCCAGTCAGAATCCTGCAGTCTCCTGAAGACGGACAGAGTACATCGTTCGAAACGTCGAGTTATTCCCCGGTTCTTCTCAGAACCACACATACTCAAAGAAGAGATTGATACATGATGCAACTGCAATCATTTTACCCAATCGTATTTTGCTTAGTACATGTACACATGTGCATGTAAATTTTCATTGTGTAACTGAGTGGTCGAACAAGGGGAAATGTTTAGATATAAATCGACTACGCCACTTGTACCTCAGAGGGGTTAGAACCCAGTACAAGAAATAAGACAACAGGGAATGTGGTGGGACACAAATTTACAAATTTGTCCAATGCTGAATACCTTATGTGAATTATATATGTATTAAAAAAAAACCACAGTCAATGATACGGACCTGTAAACAGATGCACACAAGAAAAGAAATTAATTATTAGATAAACAATCAATTTACATTCATATTTTGCCATTAATTTGAGTTCATTTTACAACCAAGTTCACAGAGTTTAAACTTTCATGAAATTTAGCAATGTCATGGCCCGACAGTTCCATATGTGTGTTCTTTTGTGGTAGCAGAAATGTCATTGTAGTTCACTCTTTTCTGAAGGACATAAGAACCAAATTGTTGCCAGTGAATGTTACCAAAAGTTGGAAGGACTGCTCCATATTATAGAGCTGTTTAACGTACTGTCCATTAGGGAATCTGTCATAAGCAAAATATGTGGTACGATATTTTGGTGATCTATATTTGCACTGCATTTTTTTTTGTTTACTTAGCAAATTTTTCCATGCAAAATCTCTCGAGCAATTTTTGTTACCCAAGTTAGTAATCTGGACTCCCTTACCAACATTACCGGCAGCTTTGTAGTGCAGATGAGGTGGTGAAAACCATGCTGGATCACATGACTAGCCCAACCAATCAGAGCCGTCTGCCCTTGGAGACAGGGGACAATATTGCCTTGGTGATCAACAACCTGGGCGGCACCTCCTACCTTGAGCTGGGAATTGTCGCCAGGGCAGCACTCAAATATCTTGGTATGGTTTTGAAATATTCCTGTGGCTTTTCCAGTTTCTTTTTGCCTTCTTTTATGTGCTTGCTTTGTCACTCAGTCAATTGATTCATTTGAACAGTCAATATTGGGTTTAGGAAAGAAGTTGATCGGAGCAGGATTGGAACCGGTAATGTCAAGCGTATGGTACGAGCACTGTACAACTCAAACTGCATGTTGTCAGCAGCTCTTTCATGGGATGTTAGTCAGAAAGTATTGAATAAACCTGTATGTAACTCGGTGATAGGGATCTCACCCAAAGTCAAGCGGCTAGAAACATTTAATGTTCCAAACTGAGGAAGTGGCACGATTCGCTGATTTGATCATGCGGATATTGAATTATCTCCATGATGGTCATGTGCTTGCATTTTGCTTCCGAAGTTTTCAAATCTCTGCCTGTGTGGATGTGCATTTGAGGAAATTTTCCTTGACAGTAGCTTTTAATTCACCACTGAACGTGGGAAGCTTGTTAGCGTCTGAAGTTACAGCGTACACGATTTTCACCAACTTTATTTCTGGACTAGCAACTAAGGGTGTGTCTGTCAAGAGAGCATTCTGTGGTACATTCATGACGTCGCTGGAAATGGCTGGCGTTTCCGTGACCATCATGCATCTAGACCTTGACGGGATCCTAACCAAGTGCTTAGGTAATACTTCCACCAGTCTTGTCTCACGTCATTTTGCCCTTCAAAAATATGTTAAGGCTCAACCATGCGCATTTACTGGCTGCCATATTCTGCCAAGTGATGCCAGGAGTTACCTAGTAAAAATTGGCATGTGTTGAGTGTGATTTGTATGTCGTTTAAATATTTTTTCTTTTTATGAACACATAAATTTGAACACATATTAAAGGAAAATTTTTATAAAACCAAGAGAGATTTAAAGAAATTAGAGCTACGGTAACCAGGGTTTAGATTGTCTCTATGGACAAACCCTGAATTGAATCTTTGCACTTGATGAAGTGCCCTTGTAATGGTGGAAGCATTGTGGCAGTTTCGAAAAGAAATAAAAGAGAACAATGATAGCAACAGTTAATTAAAATAGCTTTATAACAATTAGCATGGTGCCTCTGCCATCACTGTGGGCTTTGGTATGCTCAGTGATCAGGTTTTCAGATCCTTTTAGTTTTTCCAATGCTTTAACATAGTGTGAGGAGCAACTGTATCGGTGGAGCACCCTATGCTTGTGAGTTGCGACCGTGCAGAGGGAAGTGGGCGGGAAATGAGCCATCATTGCCTTGCGCATCATCAATTGCCCTCCACATTCAATACATCTTTCTTCATGTTCCACAGACCAGGACACAACAGCCCCTGCATGGCCGAGGGTCTCTCTCTCAGGAAGTTCCGGTCTGGAGCTGAATCAAGCGCCTCCTCTACCAGTTGACTCGGACACCACTGTCACCCCTGCAGAGGGCACAGAACCTGAGGTTTCCGAAGGTGTAAACTCAACAGATTTAAATCTTTGGACAGGAAGCATGCACAGCAATCCTACCATATAGTAAAGTCCTTTGTACACCCGAAAGAAATCCAATTTCATGCCTTTTGTACTGTGGCTTTGACTCGTAAACGAAATCTGAACACATCAGAGTCACCTCTGAAGCGCTGCAACTAATGTCACTGCACTTTGGTACCAGAGCTCCACGCGGCTGCATTTGATTACCTAAGGTGTGCAGCAAGGCATGGCGCACTTTCACAAAAGTCATGCAGGGTTTCAGTCTCCGCTTTGCTCTCCAAATTTATGTGACACCTTTTGCAATCATTTTCAGTGGCATAAGTGATGGCATAGTTAGAAATAAATGATTTTAATAACTTAACTTGTTTGTTGCAATGAAAGTAATGAAGTACTGGTATAGGTGAAAAATTTAGGGATTCCTGCCAAGTTTCCAATGAAGAAAACAGGGAAGCGTTTCAAAAAGGGGTGAAGGTAATTTAACAACTGTTGAGAAATTACGGAAATAAATAACCAATACTGCCTTCAGTATTTATCATATTTGAAATGTAAGCGTGCACATGCCCAATTTCTTATTGATATCAATCACTTGAACGTTATACAGCTACAGATAAAGTTGAGCCTAAATTTGTCGAGAAGTTTCGTTTTGCATATTCAGTTTTATTTTTTTTCTAAATTTTATTGTTGATTACCGTTTTGTAGCTGAATTTGGTGCCTTGAAGGCAGCATTACACGCAGCTTGTGATAGCCTGGCGGCCAGTGAGGACAGCCTAAATGAGTTGGATAGGGGAAGCGGTGATGGGGACTGTGGAACGACAATCAAGAATGGTGTGCAGGGTAGGTGGCTTTCTTCTGCATTTGGTATTAGTTTGGTGTTGGTACCGTATTTGGTTCAAAACTAGTATTGTGACAATGTACATGTATGCTTTATGTTATGTGTTCAGCTGTTGTTTCATATTGCTTATTAAATTACATCACCTTGCAGAATGATATTGTCATGATTGTGATGCATTCCATTTGACATGATTTGATTTGACACGATTTGATTTGATACAAAAGTGCTACATGCACACGTTAATTCAACTAACAAGCTCAAGTGCTTAACCACTTGTTTCTGGATGACGTATGAGCACACACACTTTTCCTTATTTGTTCCACGGAGGATGAGTACATTCATTTAAGAATTTTTTTTCACTTCCGCGGTTGATGTTAACATGAAGACGCTTCCACTAAGTGGACCCCTCTCCCACAATCATCCAGATATGCCTTTCTTGAGTACTCAGAACGGAATTTGGGAGCCCACCCCATATGCAAAGAAGCTAAGGGGATGAAAGACCTCCTTCGTTTGGGTAGACCAATTTGCTAGGGAGTGAAACCACACTTACACCTAAAAAGAGATAAAGTTATAAAATCCCAACTAGTGACTCCCTTGTATCGAAACAACTGGCAAAAAGCACACATGGCCACGGTTGACGCCCATATATATATATACACACTGCCGACCTTTTGTATATGAACCGGTTGATGACTGGACACACGCCTCAATATTTACCAGGAAAGTTGAGAAACCGTTAAACAGAAAAACTCAGGGGGAAAAGAATGAAATCTACTGATACCTAAGCTCAAGAGTCCGGCCTCCCTACATATTTTAAGGGTGCCAGAAATAAATTGCAAGGTTGAAGAATTCTTCCCCCCCCCAAAAAAAGCACCTGCCCCGAGCAGGTTTTTTGGGGAAGAAAACCCGACATTAGCTATGTATCTGACTCCCCAAAAAGGATGTTGCTGACGATCTCGCAGTTTGGGTTTTTGTATGTTTTGCATGTTGTGAATTCTAAACCCCAGAATTTGAGCATGAACCAAACTGGAATGCTCTCTGATATCCAGTGAAACTTTACTAATATTTTAGAAGTAACAGTGGAGTGCTAGTTGTAGCTGCAGTGTAAAATAAGTGTCTTAATTTTAATTTGCACGGTTGGGTTCGCTACTTCATAATACAGTGTTGTAGTGACTCAAGTCACTGACTTGCTTAATTTGTTTAATTGGCCTGACTTCACTCAAGTTGCTACATAAGAATGAATTGATTCAAGTCACTGCAAGAGATGACCCAACTCAACTTAGACTTCCAGCTCTTTTCTAACATGAGAAAAAAACTTCCTGCAAATGGATAATTAACTTCTGACTTTTGCGAGCACAGCAGAGCCTGAAGCATGTGCCTTGAGTCAAATAATCATGCAGACTTTGTATTTTGTACCAACATCGTCAACAGTAACAGCAGTAACTCCCTCCCCATCTTTCGTAGTACCAGTGGGCATCAAGGTGTAAATCCCAAGTCTGACCTATGCGTGTACAAATTGTATGATAGCCAAATACAAGTCTGTGAGACAACATTTATAACATACATAGTGGCATATCTGCTGAACCTGTCTGTGTTTGTCCTTATGCTTTATGCATTGCCACCCCTACGATTCTGAGTGTTCGACTGGGCTTCACTGATGAAGTGTCTAATCTGACTCCATGTCATCATAGTGATCGGTTTAATTAACTCGAGTAGAGGCTCAGTGATCAAGGTGATCTGATTCTGGCAGTTTGTTCAAAAACCAATATTAAAGTAGCAGTAGCCACAAGACTGAATTTGTCAATATAAATACATGTAGAGGTACAGTGTATAGACACTACTGATCAGTGATGTAGACCTCAAACTGTCATACATGCATTTCACAAACAAAGAACAAATGAAGCCACCTGCAGTAAAATGTTGCATTTGTTAGGTCATTGCCCCTTCAACAGGTCATGTTTGTAAGTACACAGTTTCTGATTTTGTGGGTTTTTTTTAAAGGTTTTTTTGGGGGGGGAATTTTTGTTGGCTGTCCATGCCCCCCTGTTATGCCGCTGGATTTTTTTCTGCCAAATGAAATATCAATTTTGAATGGAAATCCAAATCTGTTTGAAAAAACTATTATTTCACTCAAAGTGGTGAGTATTTTGTTAAATTTCTGAGTTTGATTGATCAAGAAACTACTTTGCAAAAATGAAGAAGGCATAAGAGAATGGTTTTAAATCTTCCAGCCCTCCATAGCAAACGTTCATTGCGCAAATCTTGTGGAAAAATGTGCGACAAAAAATGGCCCTTCAGTTGAAATTCAGGTAAAGGATACGCAGTATTATGCACTGCTAATGTGTTTTACAGAAGGATTTTTCCCTTTGATGGTCAGGAGGCTTTTTATTATTGTTGATTGAACATTACATGAAAATTAGTGCACAAATACAGATGCGAAATGACAGGGAGGGATTAACTGTGAAAAAAATACTGACAAACCTTTGGGTCTGACCAAAAACTTTGCCCGTCCTTCCCTGTTCTCAGGGGATCACCAGCTACCTTCCCCCTCCCAATCCTACTTCACCAAACCCAACACTCTCCAGCAGCAATTGAATTAGGGGAATTGAATCCGTTTAGTGTTTAGCAGGCTTGATCACCATCGATCAGTACAGTTTATAATTGGATGCATGGCATTCGGCACATGAAGCACGAGTAACCCAATATGCACTACGGACTTGTGTTAGCAAGCAACATCATATCATGTGAACTTGTCAGGACTGTGTGAGATACTTTGTAAGGGGTGACCTACAGAGGACCACACACTTGTGCTGGTATGTGTCAATGAACTCTGTACGTGCACAAGTATGCCCTCAACAGAAGTCAAGAGAGGCCGAACACCAATACCCCCATGAAGTTCCTAACAGTTCGTGCAGATTCCGATGAAAAGTCATCCCCGGTCCCGAAAATAAACGTGCATGTTTGTGCTCAAGTGTGCCTAGCTGGTGGGGCTGGCACTTAAATGCCACTAATGGAGTGTGCACAGTACCCACAGAAAGTCCCTATAGATGTAGGTTTGTGCACATTCTGATGAAAAATTGTCCCCACTTCATTTCATAAATGCGCCATTCTGTGCTTTGGCCTGGTGGGCAGGTCCCACATGACACTATTGCCAAGAAACAAGGTGTCTTTGCTTGTTCATGCACAGTGTAAAAGACCTGTCCTCCCTTACACCCCTTCCACCATTTTTAAATTATTAAAAAAAGAGCCCCTTGAGCTGCTGTTAATTCATCTTGATCCCCACCCCTTAAACAGTTCCATGTTCTTGGTGACATGCAGTGGTCAAGCCTGGGTCTAGCTAATGCTTCCCATAAATTGCAACTTACATGAAAAAAACAAAAGTTAACATGAAATGTTGGATGTTAATAGAAGGCTCCCTGTGACAGAAAAAAAAATGTTGGAGTGGGTCGCATCTTCCCATACTAATTAGCAATTTTTTCACTTTTTTTCACAATTAAGGCCACTGCTTTTTCATGGACCAGTGTTTGAGAAGAATGCCCTGTTGCTAAACCGAAACCGTAAACTGCAAGCAAATTCTCTAGTCTGTTAGAACAGATTTGAACGGCATATAGCCAGACACTAAAAAAAATCTGTTTCCTTCAGCCAGTTTTGTTTGTACATGTACATGTATTACATAGAACTCCAGATGGTTTATGAGGTCATCTGTAGTTCACAGCATTCAGAAATTGAAGCACTAAATCATAAGGTAGGCCAGGCCCAAAAGCTAGAAATTTCAGGGGGGGAAGAGTTTTAAAAAAAACACATTTTTTCCTTTTTTTCTTACCTGTCCCACATGTATCTATTGAGAAGTAATTGCTCGGGAACTGATTCTGTTGCATCGACATATCTGATTCGCTAGCGGTGCTCCATCATGTTTTCCCCAAAAACTTTTTTGTCCTTAATCCACCAAATAGCAATCAGGCCGGCTGTGATCAACCGTTACACATTCCAGTCACAGTCCTCGTAGGTAATGGGGGAATTCTTCTTCAGCTTTTTTTTTTTTCTTTTGCCGCAATATTGGGGCTCAACGATTGATTCCCCAGGAAGCCGGCCTCAAATTGCGTTAAAGCGTCCAGGAGAGAGAACTGCAGTTGGACTACCGGTTAGGCTGAGGGAGATGGAAGAAAAGGGGAACAATCCATAATTGGATTGATTACGTCCAGACAATTGGTCAAATTCAGTCATTCCTGGACTAATATGACCAGCACAAAAGGCCCATTCATTAGTGTCCCCTTATGCGTGCTGATCAGACATTCTACAAGACTGTTATCTTTTCTAAATTTCATTATCGTTCACTCAGAATTCCCCCCCCCCCTCTTTGCTCAGTTAGGAAATGGCAGCCGGATATAATTCACTCAAGAGTCAAATTCTGCAAAAGAATTCATCCCATTCTTGTATGGGGATGAAACACTGTGTCCTTCGGAACATTCTCTGATGAAAGCACGTACTAAATTCTAATTTAACCAATTCTACTTTGTCCATATTTTAAAAAAAATTTTGAAAGGGGAGGGGGAGCAGATGACATTTTTAATCATCCAAATCATGTCGTTTGATTATAGAAGCAGTGGAATTTGGCAATCAATTTTGAGTCTCAACGGTTTGATCCAATACACTGAAATAGAGAAACTGAATCAGGCCATCTCATCAATTTGCTTTTTTGTTACAAAGTAAAGGGGAAAACTCCATCCTGTTTGAATGAAACCATTATATTGTCAGAAAGGTTTAAGATGGCTTTGAATGTATTCGGCTGGTTTGAAAATTGCATTAAAGAACGTTTTGAAGACTTTAAAGAGTTAGTACAAGAACAAAGACTCTTATGACCTTGCTGTTTGGACAATGACTCTTCGTCTATTCTTGCTATGTCACCAGCTCTGAAAGTTTTGGAATGAATTTGGAAGGAAATATTGTGCTTCTCTGCATTTCCATTGATACATACATATTGATTAAAACTCACCAATTGTGTAAGCACTTTTGCAAGTGTGGCAGAGCCAGAAATGAGTTTTTAAATACACATTTTTACATAGAAGTAGTTCTCCTTTGAAAATGTTTAGCTGAAATTTAGAGTTCTTGATTTTTTTTAGTAGTGTGCCCACCTGTTTATTTGTTTAAGCCCCAGCTTCCCCCTGTGTAATGTAGCCACATGGTATGGCCACACTCCGTGTAGCCACGGTGTAGCAGATCAGCAGAGACCAGTCAACTTCTCATGTATTGTTCTTCCTAACTGGAGTGTGGTTTTCTGCTTGAGCCTTTGTCTGCCATACATGTACGTCAGTGATTGAAGTCTGAGTGTATACTCATAAGGTCCATTTTACACATTTTTGTTTTTTTTTAGTTCTTTTAAAGTTTTAGTCTTTTGGTGCCAAGCCTTTTTAGTCCTTTAGTCCTTATGGTTTATGCATTTTTTTGGTTTATGCATTTTTTTGGTTTATGCA